TATTTATTTATTATGTATACAATATTCTGTCTGTATGCCTGAAGGCCAGAAGAGGGTGCCAGACCTCTTTATAGATGGTTGTGAGCCACCATGTGGTTGCTGGGAATTGAACTCAGGACCTTTGGAAGAGCAGGCAATGCTCTTAACCACTGAGCCATCTCTCCAGCCCCTGGCTTATTTCCTATCTTTTAATTCTTTAATTGGCAGGGAAAATGAACCCATTCTTGCACAGTATCAAGACAGTATCCTAGACAATATCAAGATAGATTCAGGAGAACCAGGAGTCTAGGGCCATTCTTGACTACAGAGTGAGTTCCAGGCCAACCTGGAATACATGGGAATTTGTCTAAAACAAACACAAGCAGATGGATAGACAGTTCAACAGTTAAGAGCACTGGCTGCTCTCACAAAAAGACCTGGGGTCAGTTCCCAACACCCACATGGACTCTAGTTACAAAACTATCCATAACTCTAGTTACAAAAGATCTGTCGCCCTCTTCTGGCCTCTGCTGGTAAACATGTGGTGTACTTAACATTCGGGAAGGCAAAACACTTACGCATATAACATAAAAATAAAATCTTGGGAGAAAAAAGCAGCCCGATGGTGGTACACGCCTTTAATCACAGCACTTGGGATGCAGAGGCAGGAGAAACTCTGAGTTCGAGGCCAGCCTGGTCTACAGAGCGAGTTTAACAGGGCTACACAGAGAAACCAAAACAAATACCAAAAAACAAAAAGTAAGGTTCAAAGCTGTAAGCTGTATACTGCTTCTACTCACTACTGTATCGTTGGCAACCACACTAACTGAACGCTTAATAAGTCTGTGCAGCGCTTGTTAAGTTACAAGTTAGACCAGAACGGATGCTCCATAGAGCCTTCAACGACCCAGTTTACCTCAAGAGTATGGTTTCCTGTCAGATTTGGAGGAAAAAAGTGAGTGCACCGTTTGGTGCGCTCTGCTCGCTTACTATAAGCAGTCAGCCAGGCACAACGTGAAGGCTTGCGCATACATTACTGTCGCACAAATAGCACCCCCGCTCCCACCACCCAGTCTCTACGAAGGCCATGAGAATCCTAGATGGAGTCAGCCTCTCTGGCCGGACTTGGGAGCCTGGGCGGGCGAAGCAGCCCAGGTCCAGGACCTGCTTGTGCTCACCTCTGTCGCGAGGCGACACTGTCTCACGACTTCCGGCTCCAGCCCGCCACAGGCTGCAGAACTACAATTCCCACAAACCTCAGCCCCGACCCGTTTCTTCTCTTCTTTCGTTTCTAACAAATCATACCTCAAGGATATCTGGAAAGTGTTTTCAATCTCCCAAATCATTTCTTGATGCAGGCGCTTCTGCTAACAAACTCCTTTTTACTGACGGTCACACCTCCCGCCTCTCTGCTTCTTTGAAACTACAATAACCAGAAGTCGCTGGGCCAAGCCTACAAGATGGGTTGCCTTGGAAACAGAAATGCCAGCTCTGGGGTTGGGAGTTGCGAAAGCAGTATTGCGATTGGTGGGGAGGTCTGTTTGCTTGCTTCCTCTTTGGTCACACCCCCTCTCCCTTTCTATTTTCTTATTTCTTTCCCCTGTTCTTCATTTTATTTTTTTCCTGTATAATAGTTCAAAGTCTCTGTTTGGTATTTTTTCATACAATTTTATTTTTCATGGTGTTACTCTTTTCCCCACCTCCTACGTTCTCCTCAAACCCCTTCCCAAACCTCGTATCCTTGCATCCTCAGTAGGCAAAAGGGCACATTTCAGAGTGCGGCAAGCGCATCAAGACGTGTGGTCTCCTCATGTCTTTTCAGGGGAATCCTTGGGTCCTCAAGTCTGGGCCAGCTGCACTGGGCAGTGTCATATAAGTTACAGGTATGAGACAGGAGAGGCATGTTAGGTCTGTTCCTCAGGTCCCAAGAGGTCTCCTGGGTGTTAGGTCCCAAACTCGGGACACGCGGCGAGGTGCCTACTTAGCATATCAGAGCAGACCTGGCCGCCAGGTTCCCCCAGCGTCCCTCAGTTCTTATCTGTCTCAGGATCCTCTTGGCGGGCACAGCCTGCGCTCTTCCATAAACTTCTCCAGCCCAGGGGCTGGGCTGCCCTTCTCCCAGCTAACCTTCCCTATAGAATCCAACCATTTTGGTTGCTTCGTCCCTTCCCCTCCTGGCCTCTTAGTCTGGCTCTCCCCTACCCCTTCTCCCATAGCTCAGGGTCATTTTCTCCCTGGCCTCTCCCAGATGTCCCTGCCTCTGACTCCCTTTTTCCTACACAAACTTTCACCTCCATCACACCAGGAGCAGTCAGTCATGCCCTTTCCTTTTTCGTTCTTTTTCTTTTTTCCGTTCACTGGATAGTGAATGCAACCTTTAGTCTGCCTACTTTCTAATCTCCCAGATAATGGCCCGCCTCACTCGTTGGATAGATGGAGGAACTTAGAAGGGGATGTGAGACTCTGAGCCGTACCTCTTCTTTGGAGCTTCCCACCCTGCACCCCCATTCTTGGGTTTCTTCTTTGGAGAAATGCTGTGTAGAACTTAAGTGCCCCCCCCCGCACCCGCCCAGTATCCAGTTCAGGGTTCTCAAGTGAGGAACGTGGTGCTTGAACCTGTTTTCCCGTCTGTGAAATGAAATCACAGTATTCGAGAACGGTATTCCTCACAGTGACCGTTCAGATGTCGCGGCTGATGCTCATCGCTGTCGGTCTTGACACTTCCTTTCCTCTGGGCACTTGGTGTGTTCACGCGAAGTGTGGATGTGTTGAATCGTGCGGCTGCCACGCTTTCTCCTGTGCGAACACCAATGGCTGTGTTCTCGCTAAGGGATGCTATAGGGTCTGGTGTCGGGTCTGCCCAGTCACTGAGCCAAGAGTGTCCTCAAGGATCACCTTGGTGAGGTGTGAGGTGGCTCCGGAAGTGCCTTGGGTGGGAGTTATGATTTGATATGAGAGAACCAGAAATGACTAGGGTTTCTTAAGAGGCTTAGGACGAGCTTTCCCCTTTAAGTGGGATTTCTACAGAGATTCCTAAAAATCTCAGGTCCGCAGCTTGGGCGGGAGTAAGGCCTTGAGCAATGATCAACTGTGCAGGAGTTCCCGAGCACGGCTAGGAGAAGCTTCAACCGGACTCCAGGAGGGACGCTCTTCCTTCTCTGCGTCCACCACCGTCCCCCACCCCACGCCCCGGGTCACTAGGTCTCCAGACAGGCGGGCACGTGTCACGCCGGAGGCTGGCCGGTGCGAGCTCGCGACTGCGCGCGGTGTGATGCGCGTGGGGACCCACTGCGCCCGAGGTGTGGGACGCTGCGAGGAGAAGCACCCGGGATGGACACACACCGCAGGGTCGCGACCCGGAGCCCGGGGGGGGGGGGGGAGCGCGCACACGCGTCCGCAGATGAGCACGCCTCTCCCCGCGCAAGCTGTGAAATTTGTGAGGGGCGTGGCCTCGCTCTGTCTCCCGGGCTCTGATTGCGTGAGCGTCAGAGGGCGTGGCTCCGCGCTCCCGGGGTAGCCCCCGGGGGCGGGGCCACACTCCTCTACGTGTTGCTTGCGGTAAGGAGGGAGGGACAGCCCTGGAGGGGGACCCCTGCGGGTCCGGGCGGCGAGTGCGCAGGCGCGGGGGCTCAGTCGCTGGCAGTTCTGTCGCAGCTGTGAGGCTGAGGACAGCTGGGAGGCAGGTGAGGGACTGGCTGACCGCGAGCGAGGTTTCCGTGGAAATGATTGCTGACGTGTGTGTGTGTGTGTGTGTGTGTGTGTGTGTTTGTGTGTGTGTGTGTGCGTGTGCGTGTGCGTGTGCGCGCGGCCGGTCTGCGTGGGTCGAGCACTCTTGAACTCCTCTCTTGATCCGAGTTGATTCGGTGCACTCCTAAAGCCCCGTGTACGGTTGGCATGGCCCGTGGGGTGGACCTGGTGTGAGGATCCGTCAGGTGACTCCACGTGTGTGTGTTTATGTGTTTGTGTGTGTGTGTGTTTGTGTGTGAGAATGGCGGGGAGGGAGGAGAGAGGGAGGGAAGAGTGGGGGAGAAGAGAAATGGAGACTGAGTAGGCCTGTGGGCCTCAAGAAGCAGGTGCGTGTGCCAACTGCGTAATCTGTGGCGTGCGAAAAGGATTTGGGAGCACAGTTGTGAACATCTCCGTTGTACCCGTGAGCGAGTGTGACAGACCGATGGGGCTGTTTGTCACAGTCTGGGGGTGCGCGGTCTGTGAGGCCCAGGAACAGGTGCCTGATTTGTGGCGTCATGGTGAGAAAAGGAAGCCCCCCGCAGGCTGGAGGGGCCGTGGGCACACAATTCTGAGTCTCTGTTGTCGCTAGCAGTGCGTGTGCGAGAGCGTGTGTGTGTGTGAGAGAGAGGGGGGGGGTAGGGAGGGAGGGAGGGAGAGAGAGAGAGAGAGAGAGAGAGAGAGAGAGAGAGAGAGAGGAAGCTATTGATCACAGTTTAGAGATACTGTGCGCCACCAGATGTCTGAGGCTTTGTTGAATGTGTGCCAGTGTGTGATTGATTGTGCCTTATTTCATTTGTTACTGTGGCAACGGGCTCCTCTAGAGCAGGAGATGTGATGGCTACTCTGGGAAACTGAACCTGTTAAGGATGAGACTTGGTTCTGTACAACAGCCCATCAAAGCGTCGATGGGAGGCTAAAGGAATAACAAATGAAAGGCCCGGAGTGCCGCCTGGGACATAGTGAGTGCGGTGTAGGTAGGGTCTGGCCTTTGTTGTAGTTCTGGGAGTGCGGGTTTTGCGCTGTGCTGTTGACCTGTGTCCAGGTAGGATTGTGCGGAATCCAAGAAGAATTTGTGTCTGCTTTGGAATTTGGCCATCTTCCACCTCCAGCAGATGTTCTGGTCTCTCTGATTCGAGCACTGATGCATCCCCCACCCCTTCTACCCCTAGGCAAGCATTTGCCTTCTTGGTGTCTGCCCAAGTATGGTTCTGAAGCCTACCCTGACCTGCGGAACCTGTTGTGTGTCTTCCTAATCTGGGTATCTGGAGGGAGATAAATGGAGGTGGTGGGGGTAGGCGCAGAGGGCCTGGGGCCAGCCACCTTTATCCAGTAGCACATTGGGTGGACAGTCACAGAACCCTTTTGGGGTGACCTTGTTGAGTCTCCTCAGGCATCATCAACAAGCCCTTCATTTCATCCCAGCCATGTTTTTGCAGCTTTGATCACTGACAGAAGAAGCAACCATTCATTGGGTCTATAACCTGAAAGGAAAGAACAGAAGATAATGTTGCTGCTGTAACAAATTGCCCTCAGGTTTAATGGTTTCAAAGCTTTATGTATACTCAGTATTTACTAATCTTTTAAATAATTAATCCAACCAGTAATTATTACTATTACTCTTTAACTACTGCCTGTCCCACAAAGAGAGAAGCATAATAAATCTAGCTTCCTGAGAAGATGGCTTCCCATGAACAGTATAGATCATCTTGAAATTCTTGTTTAGCATCAAAACTTAGCTAAGCTTAGCTTTTGTTCCACTTACCTCTCTTCACCGTTTGTAGAGGGAAGTGTTCATGCTTCTAGTTTCAGCTCCTTCTGTGTCTTCACATCACAGAAAGAGTGTTGCATAAACAAACAAAGATCTGTACAGATCTGCTCTAAATAGCACCGGGTGTGAGGCTGGCATTCTTTGAGGGTGTTTAGGGGTAAACTGTCATCAGACCTAAACTTATTTTCAAGTGACTCCATTTTTTTTTTGAAGGATGTAGGACACGTTACTATTCAGTAAAGAGTTAGACTATTTTCTTTTTCTCCAGATTTCCTGCTTTCCCAGTAGGGGATTAGTTTGTCCCTGTTTCCTCTCTCTTGGAAGGCACACGTTTTAGAGGCTGTGTTCGCTCTGCTGTCTCTTTACAGTGTCCTGTCAGCACTGGGAGATGGAATCCCACTTCTGTCAGCACACACGAGCATATTCAGGATGGATTAGCGGTCAGTCCACAGGTGTGGAGTCTCTGCTCTTGTTTTTTGAGACAGGGTCTCATGAATCCAAGGCTGGCTCCAGCTTGCTGTGTAGCCCAGGAAGTGTTGCCTCTACCTCCCAGTGCTGGGAAGCTGCCACCACGCCCAGTTCATGTGGTGCTGGAAACAGTTTTTTTTGTGTGCTAGGCAAGTCCTCACCCTCCTGAGCAGCATCCACATCCCAGTCAAGATCCCTGCTCTTGATCCCACGCCGAGCATGCACTTGTGTGTGGGTTTGTGATATTAACTAAGTAAACAGTGATCAGCCAGTGCCCTGCTGTGGATAGAGCTTAGTCCTGGAGTGCTTGCCTAGCATACACAAGGCTCTAGTTTCAGTCTGCAGCACTGCAAAGTAAGTAATTATATAGTTGAGGAAATAATAAGAGTTCTGAATAAAAAAGAACAGTGCAATAATGTATTGTTTGTAATATATGGAGCAGTGTCTGAAAACATAAGAGGCATATAAACTTAAATATTCCAGTAGCTACATTTTTAAAAAGACATAAATTTATTATTAATATTAGTTACATCTTGTTTGCCTTAGTGCATCTATAGCAATTTTCATTGTAGATATGTACTAATACATCTAAACCAATTTTCATTGCAGATAAAAATTGCGCTTACATTACTCTGTGCTTACATTTCATAAACCTTGCCTTGGAAAAATGGTTACACCAAGTTAGTGCAAATATATATGTGAGTTTTATTGTAATTAATCCAATACCAGTCTTGCTTTCTCTATGGCTACCAAAGCAGTTTATATGCAATGCTGCCACCTCCAAATTTTGTTACAGAGTCTGGTTAGTCTCTCTGCTCAGCTCCTCTCACCTTTCCCCTAGAAATATCTTATCACAGAAACCGCTCACCGCCACCTTCGCGATCTGGTTCCACCAGCCGTTCTCACCTCACTCTGCCTTAGCACACAGCCTTCTATCCCTCTAGACATCAAGCCTGTCCAGCACAGTACCTTGGCTCTACCCTGTGCCCTGTGGCTCACATGTTCACCACATTCAGACCTCAGCTCACTGTTGCCTCCTCGGAGAGGCCTTTCCTGACTACCACGTCACTCCTCACTCCGGTCCCCTATCCTGGTCCTCATTTCACCCTCTAGGGTATGTATGTGCAGTCACGCCTAGTTTCTGTTACAGCAGCTGTGGAGCCCAAGGCTAAGTGCCTGCTGGTTCATATCTCTCGAGCAGCTGAGCCACTGGCCCCAGCACCTGCTTTCTTTAGGCAGCTTCTCTGGGTGTAGTAGCTCTGAGTAGGGCAGTGAACAGAACAGTCAGGATCCCTGTTCTTGACCTAAGTCACTACGTGCCGTGTGGACTTGTTTTCCTTGCCTGAACAAATGGTACATGGGAGCACGTACCTTCCTGCTTTAACTCTCATGGTAGAGCCTGGCACCAGCAGTCACCAGTCAGAAGAAGGGCTGGGTGTCTGCATAGTCTTCATCTTTGTCCTGATCAGGAGCCTGCTGTGATTGTAGAGGCGGAGTGTTGTGTGATTTCCTCCTTGCCCCTCCCCAATCCTGAGAGCAGGACACAACACATACACACACATACACAAACCACCACACACATACACAACCTAAGAGTGGGACACACACACATGCACACACACAAACCACCATACATACAAACCCTAAGAGGGGGGATACACATACACACACATGCACACACACAAACCACCACCCTAAGAGGGGGATACACATACACACACATGCACACCCTAAGAGGGGGATACACATATACACACAAACCACACACACACACATACACACCCTAAGAGTGGGACACACACACACACTCACAATGGATGGACAGACAGACAGACTTGTTCCCACCTTTGCCTATGGAGAGGGGACTGGGGACTGGGAACTTTGGGGTCTCTCCAAAGGCCATTGAGTTTCATGATCTCTCTTTTCTGCCAGCACTCTGCCTCAGCCTCTGAATGTGGATCATCAAAGTTGGGGGGAAAAGATGCCTGCAGCACGAGGGAAATCAAAGTCCAAGGTGAGTGGTGACCCCTCCCATGTGCTCCATTCTGTCTATAAGATGTGGCCCATTGGTTTGCTTTCTGGAGATTTCCTACCTGTGGGAGATTGATGCGGCACCTGGTGGTCCTCCCGTTTCTATGGAGATGGGACTTGAGAAGTAACCAGCACTCAGAAAGCTTCTGTGGGTCCCATTTCCTTTCCTCTGTGTTCACGGTCCATTCAGCATCTGCAGGGGCTCTGCAGGACTCAGCGTTGCCCTCCCCAGAAAGAATATGAGAGCTCTGTAGTTTCTTTGGCCGGGATGAGTACCCAGGTGGGACCCACTCAGCCGAAGGGGTAGGTGCGTATGTGCCAGATTAATCCAGTTGTATCACTTTGTTGTTCCTTGTAAAACCAATACTCACATGGAAGAAGTGTGCCTGGTTAAGGTACAAGAATGAGGAGTATAATTTGGAAACGAGAAAGAGGGGTAAACAAGTCTTTTGACTGACCTGCTTCACCACTGGAGATGACCAGATGAGCGTCACAGCAACTCAAGGGCAGTTTCTATAATTTCCAGCCAGGCGGTGGTGGCACACACCTTTAAGCTCATCACTTGAGAGGCAGAGTCATGTGGATCTCTGTGAGTTCAAGGCCAGCCTGGTTTACAGAGTTCCAGGACAGCCAAGGCTGCACAGAGAAACCCTGTCTGGGGACGTTGCTCAGATTGCTTGACTAGGATGCATAAACCCTGAGTTCGATCCCCTGCACCCTTCCTATAAATAGAGTGAGGTGGAGCATGCCTGTAACTCAGTACTCAGGGGACAGAGACAGGAACTTTGGCTACACAGTGAGTCCAGGCTAGCCTTGGATACGTGAGGCCCCGTCTCACGCTAACAAAACACATGTGCCTGTTCTCTCTCGCTGCCCCAATAACTATACATCAAAATACATTCCCTGTCGTTTCTGACTTGGTCAGGGCTCAGCCACAATACGGAGTAGCTGGGTCTTCTGCTTCGGTTTCCCAGAACCAAAATCAAATTGTTGACTAACTATATTTTCATTAGGGGCGTAGATTCTCTTCTGGATATGTTTGTATTAACAAAATTCGGTTCATTTTTGCATTTTGTACATTCCTCACCTCCCCTATTTTCATGGGAGCAGTAGTCAAGCAAGCCAGAGCAAGACCTAGGTAGTCTGTGTAAGGGTTTCTGGAGCTGAGGAGAATGACAGCAAGTGCGTGTGCTTGCCATTCAATCAGGATCCAGACTTAAAAAGCAAGGTGCTGGCCGGCGAGATGGCTCAGCAGGTAAAGGTCACCCGAGGTTGATTCTCAGGACCCACACTGTGGACGGAGAGAACCAACTTGCCCTCCATGTTGTCCTCGGAGACCCACCTGCACCATGGCACACCCCCTGCCTCCCCAAGGTCACACATAAAGGCCTGATTGAACAGTGTGCGTAAGTAATCCCACAGCTGGGGAGGTAGAGAGAGGGAGCTCACTGTCTGATCACTGTCAGAACTGGTGACCGCCACGTTCAGTGAGAGGCCCTGCTTTGAAAAGCAAGGTGGAGAGAAGCTGAGGAAGATGTTGATTGCCGGCCTCTGTTCTCCGTGCACATGAGCATATATGCACCCTCACACATGCGTACACAGAAGTGAGCATGTGCATACATCCCCAGACACACGCACATCTTCCTTTGCTGCCTTGAGCCAGTGATAACCTGATTAAAGAGTGTTTGGGTTTGTTTATTTTGAAGGAGCCAGACTATGTGATTGCACCCTTGATTTAGTAAATGTGTGAACTGCAATAGTTTACCTCATCTCTCTAGGCCTTAGTCTCCTCATTTGTAGCATTTCTATGTTCCTCTTGGCAATGGTTCACAACCACTAAGGATGAATACCGAGTGAACCAGATACTTAGAGAAAAAAAAAATGCCTTAACTATAAAAACCAGAAAAACCAAATTCCTTTGTTATTTTATTTATTGTTTTTGTAAAGAGTTACTCATTTATATGTATACAGCGTTCTGCTTGCTGGCAGGCGAGGAAAAGGCGCCAGATCTCATTATAGATGGTTGTGAGCCACCATGTGGTTGCTGGGAATTGAACTCAGGAAGAATAGCCAGTGCTCTTAACTGCTGAGCCATCTCTCCAGTCCAGTCCTCTGATTTTGAATGCATGCAGCATAATTAAATTTATTTCGTACCTCTGCCTCTTTGGTCACAGAGCTCCTGTCATGACATGTCTCATGTATTTGCTATTTTCTCTACCACGCAGAGGGAACTTTTTTTTCTAATTTTTTTATTGTTTTTATTGAACTATATAGTTTTCTCCACTCCCCTCCCTTCTTTTACTCTCCCCTTCTACCCTCTACCATGGTCCTTATGTTCCCAATTTACTCAGGAGAGCTTATCTTTTGCAGAAGGACTTTTTGAAGCTCATGGTTGAATAGACATAACTTTATTCATTTCAGGCATCGGTGACGTTTGGGGACATAGCCATCTACTTCTCGCGGGAAGAATGGGAATGGCTGAGTCCCACTCAGAAGGATTTGTACGAAGATGTCATGTTGGAGAACTATCAGAATCTGGTCTCTCTTGGTAAGGTGTCATGCTCCCCTCTCTCACCCTTTCAGTAATCCATAACCTACTGTGAAGGGCATGTGTCAGTCTGTCTGCTCAGGAAAAGGGAAGCCACTTAAGTTGTATGCATCTCTTTTTAATGACTCGTGTGTGTGTGTGTGTGTGTGTGTGTGTGTCTGCCTAGGTCTCCATCTAAATTATACAGTTGGTTGATTTTTACTGTAATCACAGAATTAGACATCAGTTACCATGGTCAATTTTAGGACTTTAGAGTTTTCATTACTCTCCAAAGAAACTCTGTAATCAAGAGCAATTCATTTCCAGTGTCCATGTAGCCCTCGAGAGTGGGCAATCCCTAGCTCTCATCTGTCTCTTTGGATTTGCCAGTCTGAGCCTTGTGTGCAAATGGGATCATAAACACACAGCCTTTTCTCTCTTAGCATAATGTTTGAGGTTCACCCCTGTTTCAGCACATATCAGTACTTTGTTCTGGTTCATTACTGAGTAATTACATTGTCTTTGTCTCATTTATCTTTTATTAGCAGGTAGGTATTTGGGTTGTTGTACTTTTAATGAATTGCTGATGTGGGCAGTCATGAACAGGTTTTTGCATTTTTTTTTTGTTTTTTGTTTTTCAAGACAGGGTTTCTCTGTGTAACAGCTCTGGCTGGCCTAGAACTCACTCTGTAGATCAGGCCGGCCTTGAGCTCACAGAGATCCTCCTGCCTCTGCCTCCCAGATTAAAGTCATGCACCACCACTACCTAGCTTCATGAACAAGGATTGGGGGTGTATATTTTTATTTCTCTTGGCTATAAATTTATGAATGGAATTGGTGGGTCATTTATAAACCACACTTTCTTATAATTTGTATATTTTATTTTACGTGTACGAGTGTTTTGCCTGCATGTTTGTATGTATGTACACCATGTGCCTGCCTGATGCCTGTGGAGGCCAGAAGAAGGCATCAGATCTCCTAGGTATGACTTGAACATCTGAAACCTCAAAGCCTACCCCCCTCCCCAGTGACACATTTCCTCCACACCTAATAGTGCCTTTCCCTATGGATCTATTAAGGGCCATTTTTATTCAAACCACCACAAACTCTGACTGGCAAATCTGGCAAAGGAGATGTTTAGATTGCAGAGCTTGGGGCCATGTAAGATCAAATTCTTTCACTTTTTAAATCCTTAATGGGTCCAAGTTGCTGTTTTTTTTGGTTATTTGTGTGTGTGTGTGTGTGTGCATGTGCATATGTGAAAGTTAATTTCTTGTATAGAAATTATTGTATATAGCTACATTATTTGCTTCTTTAATCCTTTTTAAAATTAGTTGTTTATTTTTATTTTATGTCCATTGACATTTTGCCTGCATGTATGTCTGTGTGAGGGTATCGGATCCTGGAGTTACAGACAGTTGTGTGCTGCCATGTAGGTGCTGGGGATTGAACCTGGGACCTCTGGATAAGCAGCCAGTGCTTATAACCACTGAGCCATCTCTCCAGTGTTTATTTCTTGCTTCTGTACACTTTTGGCCTCAAAGCCTTGAGTGGAGGCACAGCATAACAATGGGTCACAGAATGGTGGCGGTTTAGAGTGAGCTGAAGGATGATCACTTACAGCCTTGTCCCAAGAGCATTTGACCCTATGTTCAGAAAAGTAATTTATTCTGTAGAATCAGTGTCTTGGGGCTTCAGTTGCTGTAAAGAGACACCATGACCCCGGCAACTCTTAGAAAGAAAAGCATTTAATTGGGGCTGTCTAAGAGTTCAGAGGTTTAGTCCATTATCATCATGACGAGAAAGATGGTGGCTGGAGAGGTAGCTTAGAGTTCTACATCTGGGTGGGCAGGCAGCAGGAAGAGAGAGAGTGCCACTGGCATGTCATGGGCATCTGAAACCTCAAAGCCCCTTCCCCAGTGACACACTTCCTCCAACAAGTCCACACCTCCTACTAGTGCCACTTCCAAAGGGCTATGGTGGCCATTTTCATGTAAACCACCACAGTTAGTTTAAACGCTATTGTATATAACTCAGTTTTCCTCTTCTCTTTATAACATTTTTAAGCCATCTCTCACATTTAACCTTCAGCACAGAATAGTCTGACACCAGAGGGATGGAGGTTATTCCAGCACCAAACAATTCTTACTTAGATATTGGACAGACTTTGCAATTCTGACACTACTTACCTGGGTCAGTGTCAGAGCCAAAGATTAATTATAATGGGATCTGATTCCCTCTTCTGATGTTTGTCAAGACAGGTCACTCATATACATAAAATAACTAAATATTAGAAAGAAAGAAAAGGGGATTCAGGAGAGATTCAGGGGAAAGAGTGCAGAATGCCTTCTTTAGGAATGCTGCTCCCCACATGTTCAGCGGCCTCTGTGCTCTCTGAACTCCTGCTTTGGGCTTATAAAGACCTCATTGCATCGGTTTGATTGGTCAGTCTCTCACTAGCCCTCTTGTGAGGTTAGGGGACTGGATGGAGGTCCAAGCTTGAATCATTGTTGGTTTGTTGATTTCTCTGGCCCAACCTGAAAAGCTCCCCTGTGCACTTGCTATCATTAGGATTGAGAGACCCTAGAAATGACCATGTCTACCTTCTTCCCTGAAATGAAATAAATGAAATTTATGCCCCGACAATGCTGAAGCATGCATGGGCAGCCCATATATGGAGGTTCTATGGAACTTGTCCTTATTGGGTTTTATGGTCAAAGTTAATGAGGACTACTGACCAGGTCTCTTCCTCAAGAGGGCACCAGATCTCACTAAAGATAGCTGTGAGCTACCATGTGGTTGCCGGGTATTGAACTCAGGACCTTTGGAAGAGCAGGCAGTGCTCTTAACTGCTGAGCCATCTCTCCACCTTCTTCCCTACCCTACCTCCACTCTTCAGCTGCCCCTCACATTCTGTGTATTTCCATTGTGATGACAAACACACATTTTATTGACACAGGGCATGGCTCCTATTTCAAGTGGTGCCCACATAATGACCAGTTCCCTTATTTGTCCTGTGTCCAGGTCTTGCCTGCCGGAGGCCGAATATCATCACCTTGTTGGAGAAAGGGAAAGCACCATGGATGGTAGAGCCATCAAGACGGCGCCGGGGCCCTGGTGAGTGACTGAGGGCCAAGGCCTAGGTCTTATCCTTCAGGTTGCAGAAGGATGCACGAGCAGTACATTCACTGGGCTGTCTGTAAACCACAGAATACGTCATACACGGTCCTGAGAGTTGGTAATTCTAAGAGGAAGACTGTAGTAGATGTAGTATCTGGTGACAACCTACTTCCTTCTTATTGTGTTGTCATAGGGCCAGAAGGGTGAGGGAACACTATAAGGACACTAATCCCCGCCTGAGGGCTTCAACCCCAAAACCTGATTGAGTTCCAAGAGCCTTTACCAGGTATCCTATTAGAGAAGTGAGCATTCTGCCTGGGATAGTTGTTAGAACAAGTGCCTGCCCCTTTAAGGCAGTGGTCATTCTTAAGAGGCCAGCTCCCACCACCTGAAGAAACTCAGCTCCAGCTTGAACCCTTCCCTAGGGCAGAGAGTTAAGGAGCCATTCTGTGCTGTGGTCTCTGTAGCGGCTAAAGTATGTCTTAGCCAGTGCCAGGAACCTTCCATGCTTTTGATCAGATATACAACATAAATCATGTGATATAAAACTTCCTGCTACTCCTTGAAATATTATAAAAGTCATATTTTCTGGGTTTGAGAGAGTTCTCTAAAGATTGCTCTGGGTACTTCTCTGAAGAGGCTCCTCTGGCCTCCTCCCAGCCACACATCTCATGGTTCTTGTCTCGGAGGCTCTCATTGTGTGAGTGCTCTCCCTCCTCCCATCTTCTCTCCCTGTCTCCTACTCTCACTTGAAAAGAAGATCCTCTCCAGGTAAATCCTCTTCTTCCATTTAAGACCCCAAATGATGTTTGGTTCTCACATACACTGAACCATTTACTATCCCACACTCTTCAGGCCTTGAGGTCTGATTGTGATCTCGAGACTTTCCTAATAAACTTTACTTCATAGTGGTGTGTGCCTCGTATCTGTATTCAACAGTCACGAGGGCGCTTCTTCTTTGAGATGTTACCTGAGAGCTCTCCTCTACACAAGACAAAGCCTCAGGCCTGTGCGAAGAGCTCAGGTATAAGACCTTAGGGCGAGAATAACAAATGTTCTTTTAGTCTCTGCTTGGTGCCAGGTACGCTTTGAGGTCATTTCCTCCCAGCAGGCTGTAGTGGGTGGAATTAGTACCGTGGCATCATAGGTGAACGGGACACTGCCATCCAGAGAGGTCCTGTGACTTGATAGACCCAGAATCAGGGCTCAGTCTACCTTTGTACCCAGAAATTCAGGTCTTCATCCTCCTTTCTCTGAAACCCCATGTCTGTGCTTTCTCATTTGTGATCAGAAGAGGTATCGGCTGGTCTCTGGGTGACAACACTCTTGATAATGCTCAGATTTGAATGATTCTGTTATTTCTTAAAAAGTGTTCATCATGCCAGGCATGGTGGCACACTCCTTTAATCCCAGGACTCGGGGAGGCAGAGGCAGGCTGATCTCTGAGTTTGAGGCCAGCCTGGTCTATAGAGGGAGTTCTATTACACAGCAAAACCCCATCTCCCGAACAAAACCAAACCAAACCAAAATGTTCATCTCTTCTGTAACATTTCGTTTTGGCTGCTAGTCAGTGACTTCCCTCGGCAGATAAATTCCTCTTTGGCTGTCCCAGGTAGACATCATTTAGTTTGAGTCTTTGAGCTAGGTACAAACCAGGGAGAAAGGCCACTGATGTGCAGCCTTTGGTGACTGAGAGCGTCTAAGTGTGTTTTATCACTTCTCAGTCACTAACAGATACTGAGTGCAGCATAAAGAGAAGTTCAATTTGGTTCATGATTTTGATAGGTTCAGTGCAGGGTGGACTGGATTCATTGTGTTTAGGCCCAAGGGGAGGCATAGTGGTGGGAATGTGGAGCAAGGATGGCTCAGTCACATGATTGCCAGGAGGGGTCTGGGGACAAGGTGTATCTTTTCCAGACACACCCCTGTAACCTACTTCCTCCACCTGGGTCCAACTTTTCTTTTTTTTAAATTTGTTTCTTTGTTTTTTTGAGACACGGTTTCTCTGTAGATTTGGAGCCTGTCCTGGAACTAGCTAGCTCTTGTAGACCAGGCTGGCTTGGAACTCACAGAGATCTACTTGTCTCTGCCTTCTGAGTACTGGGATTAAAGGTGTGTGCACCACCGCTCAGCTAGGTGCAACTCTTACTTCTTACTCTCTACCACCTCTCAATAATGCCAGCATATTAGGAATCTATCAAGGGATTAATCTGCCACTGAAAGCATATGGGTCCTTATTGTCTAATCCCCTGTTAGCGATTAGACCCACCAGCTAAGGACCAAAGTCTTCAATACACAAGCCCTTCTGGGGAATGTTTTCATGTCCAAACCCCAGGAAGTTATGTAATACAAAGAAGCCAGAGCAATACCAACCTGTCAGGCAAGGTGTAGCTGCTGGTACAGCGGTGCCAGGAAGGTTATGAAGGTAACCAGACACTTTCTGATTGGGTTTGAGCCCTGTTCCCCTAGGGGGAGTTTATGTCTTGTACTATAATCTTGCTCAAGAGTTTATGGCTCAAAAGTCAAGGACTCTGGGGAATGGGGACAGCTATTACTATTTTTTTTAAGAGAAGATGTTGGCACAATGTAAATGGAAGGTCCTATCTTCATTTTCCATCTTCATCTTGACACGAGAAGAAATGTTTTTATATGACATAATGCTGTTTTAAGTCACAGATGAAATTTAGCCATGTTACATAAGTTTCAGAAAAAGCAAAAGTTAACAACTAAGGCTACCTAGTTGTCGATAAGTAATTTTTACAAAAGTAATGGTCATGGCTGTGCACAGTTTGTATAGTTTGCTTTTGTCACTTTGTATTTCGTTTCCATTTGGATTCTAATTTCTTATTAATAGGAGTGCAGTTATGTAAGTTGTTCATTTTAGTTTTGTCCCCCTTTGTTGTTTTGAGTCATAGAAGTATAGCATGAGGGCCTGCTTGTGGGGGTTTCTGTCCTGCCCAGTTCCCACAGCTGGTAAGTCCCAAAGAAGTTCACACAGAGAGTCTATATTAATGATAAACTGATTGGCCCATTAGCTCAGGCTTTGTATTAGCTCTTATAACTTATATTAGCCCATTATTCTAATATATGCTAGCAACATGGCTCAGTACCTTTTTCAGTGGGGCAGGTCACATCCTGCTTCTTCCGTGGTCTGGGTAGGACTGGGGAGGGGGGTGGAAGCTTCTTCTTCCCAGAATACTCCTGTTCTCTCTGCCCCACCTCTACTTCCTGTCTGGTTTTCCCGCCTATACTTCCTGCCTGGCTATCGGCCAATCAGCGTTTATTTAAAACATAATGGACAGAATATAGAATTGTCCCACACCACTTAGAAGTGTGATTAGATTCAAGGGTCATTCTCTGGAGATCTCCAAGTTGCTTTCCTGTTGCAGTGTTGCCAGGAAACCACCAACTGCAGCAGCCTCTCTAGGGCTGGATCCCAGCTGCCTCTCTAGGGATGGATCCCAGCTGCCTCTCTAGGGATGGATCCCAGCTGCCTCTCTAGGGCTGATTCTCAGCAGCCTCTCTAGGGATGGATCCTCAGCAGCCTCTCTAGGGCTGGATCCCAGCTGCCTCTCTAGGGCTGGATCTGAGCAACCTCTCTAGGGCTGGATCCCAGCTGCCTCTCTAGGGCTGGATCCCAGCAGCCTCTCTAGGGCTGGATCCCAGCTGCCTCTCTAGGGATGGATTCTCAGCAGCCTCTCTAGGGCTGGATCCCAGCAGCCTCTCTAGGGATGGATCC